TTTCAAAGCTGCATGTTGCACAGTTTTTATCTTTGTGAAGAGCTCCCGCACTTTGTAGGACTCAGGTCGAACAGTTTTCGCTGCGTCGGTCATTTGTAAAATGTATTTAATTTCCTTTGAAAACAGCCTCTGCTCTGCTTCTGCCTTCCCCCTCGCTCTGTTCAACTCGTGCTGCAGAGTTTTTTTGTTTTTTTTCTTTCAAACTTTATTCAGTCAGCCAGCATTGACAATGAACTGCCCGTGAACAAAACGGCTCTGCAGCGCCGTGAAAGACGCATAATCGCGTGACACAACGAATCGATAATGAAATTCGTTGCCAACACTTTTAATCATCGATTTTTATCAATTCGTTGTTGCAGCCCTACTGATGTTATTTAAAAATTATTTACCAGTAAATATTACACAGTCTTATCTAGGTCATGTGACCGGAAGTCAAATAGTAACGGTAGAATGTGGTAAATATTCATTAAATTAGTACCATTGATTTTTATTGGGAAACACTTTTGTTAACAACTGCTGTTTTTAAATGTACTTTGTAAATAAGTTTGATGTGATTTCTCCTCAGCAGAGCTCATATGAGCAGCATGGAGGAAGGAAGGGGGAACAGCCCCCTCCCTCCTGTTGTCCTGTCCGTTCTGTACGGAGCCTAAATGACATATTGGTATTTAAACACATATTTACCGTACACAGATTTTTAAAAACTTATTTAGATATGTATCAGTCTTGACTGACTGCTTTAAAAATAAGTTTGACGACTTCTCCACCGTTGAGCTCTCATGGACGGAAAGGTGAGGGGGAGACCCCTCCTGTTGTTCTCCGCTCAGTGTTTGGATGTGACTTTAAAATGAGATCCCGGTATTTAAACGCATATTTACCGACACAGAAAGATGTCACTCAGAAATAATTTAAAAACTTATTAAAACATGTACCAGCCTTGACTGCTTTTGCGTCTCCCATCCCTGAACCTGGACATGATGCAGCTTACGGGCAGCAGCTCTGTCTCCTCCTCGACAGTCAATCGCTTTTAACATGAAAGTTGCATCATAAGAAATTCTCTGTGCGTTTTCCATTATCGCTGAACAAACAAACAGGTCTGTGCATGAAGCGCAAAATCCTATAACTATCTGAAGAACTATCTGAAGAAATTAATGCATGTCTATCTTGGGGGATGGTCCTGGAGATTACCTTGTTAGTCATTCAGGTTAGACTTCTGGTCACATGATGACAAAGTGGGTGGAGTTATGGTTGAGGATTTGAAACCGTTAGCAAAAGGCCTTACACATCTGATTATCTGAGGACATTCTCTCTGTGTCCCAAACACCTGCCCCATGAGGGGCAGGGTGCTGGGAGCCACGAGTGCCCACCTCTGTCAAAGGAAAATGTTTGTCAGAGGCAGGAAGCTATCGAGAGACGGCAGGAAGTCTTTCAAAATAAAATGTAAAAATATAAATTTTGTAAATTATGAAGAAAGTACATAAATAAGATGGTCCTGCATATAAACCACATGGTACAACGTGTCAGACAAAAGTAATAGCTTGTACAACGGCAAGTATGGTACTTTTTCACCTTTTGGTACTTTATTTTTGTACCCTTATTGCATGCTTTTAGTATTTCCTGTTTGTTTGTTCTTTGATTTTTTTTTTTTTGTGAGTCGAATCAGTCTTCTCATCCTAAGCATTTCATTGTACTGTTAACCTTGTGTTAACCTTGCATATGACAAATAAACACAACTTGAACTTGAAAGAATACCATACTTGTCGCCGTACACGTCACATCGCTTTATAAGTCGCATCAGTCCAAAAATGTCTATCCATCCATTATCTTTTACCCGCTTCTTCCATTTTGGGTCACGGGGGTCGCCAGTGCCCTTGTCCAGCAATCACTGTGCGGGGGGCGGGGTTACACCCTGGACAGGTCTCCAGTCCATCACAGGGACACACAGAGACAAACAACCATTCACTCTCTCACTCACACCTAGAGACAATTTAGAGTTACCAATCAGCCTAACATGCATGTTTTTGGTCTGTGGGAGGAAACCGGAGTACCCGGAGAAAACCCACGCATGCACGGAGAGAACGTGCAAACTCCACACAGAAAGGCACCCGGACTGGGATTTGAACAGAGGACTTGCTCGCTGAGAGAAAGAAGCTCTACCAGTTGCGCCACCGTGCTGCCCCCAAAAATGTCTAATAAAGTGAATAAAACAAATAAGTCGCTTTCCCCCAACAGCTTACTCCAAAGTGGAACAAACCAGTTCTGCTTGTGATAAGATGGTCTCTTTGGTACGCCCCCTCCTCCATTGCCGGCCCTCTTCCTTGTTGACAGTCTTGTCAAACTGGTTAAAAACAACAAAGTCCATGCTCAATAATCCAGGTATAAAATCCAACATTTTTCAGTAGAACTGGTTTGTTCCACTTTGGAGTAAGCTGTTGGGGGAAGAATCAGTTTTGTTGTGTGTTTCCTTGACTGATTAAGTCTTCCGGACTGAAGGCGAAATGTTTCAGCACAAAAAAAGAAAGTGTCCGGATGACCTGAGTGAAAAATGTTGGATTGTATACCTGGATTATTGAGCATGGACTTTATTGTAGTGTTCAATATTTTCCATGTCAGAATGAATGAAATCGTCAGATCTCAGCCAAAAATAGGGTTATAAATATGGGGAAAAAACGTATATTAGTCATTTCGGTGTATAAGTCGCTGGACTTGTAAAAAGGTAAAGGTGCAACTTGTATGGCAAAAAATACGGTAGTTTAATTCTGACCAGACTGACAATCGATCTGAGAGCTAAAACTAAAGTGCGTTGCTGTCATTTAAAATCAAACATGCAACGGCTCGTGCAAATACTTCTTTATAAACCTTTACACCTTTCAGTTTGGTGTCACTGAATGAAACGTATCTTCCCTGGTGTGGTCCACAAACAAGGTCAAAGATATAAAAAACTAGGTTGTAAAACATGCAGTGAATGCTTTGTATTGATTTAAAATAATAATTCTGGATGAAAACTAAGTAAGCATTTCGTGTGGTGTTTCTGATTTTCAGAGTCAAAGGCGGCTGTCCTGACGGTGTGAGCTGCGACTACGCTCACGGCCCGGAGGAGCTGCAGGAGTGGATCGAGAGGCGCGATTTCCTGAGACAAAAGCTGGCCAAGGCCAGGGAGGACATGCTCATCATGCCTGCTGAGTTTGACTTTGGGAAATATAACTTTCTGCTTCAGGACTGAGAATGTTTTGGATTTTAGCCATTTCTTTTAAACTGCCAAATGTAACAGTGTTGTTCTATCATGCCTTTTCAACTTTAAACCAAAGTATTTAGGTGAAGTAGTCAGGGATCCACAATGAGCAAAATAAACTAGAATATTTTAGTGCAAGGATTTTCCTTTTTGAAATTGCTGCTCACGGTTTACTTTCTAATAATGAAAGTTTTAATGACTTCACTGTATGGACCAGTGTGTACTACTCACATTTGTTCAGTCTAAACTTACTAACTAATGAGTGCTTTCAAAGTAAAACTCATGTCTGTGAAAGAGATTATTGTCATGTGCTCTACTTAAAGGATTCACATTCATCTTACAGACTTTACAGCTCTTAGGTTCCTTCTATATCAGCAGCAGTTTAAGCTTTTATCTTTCATCAACAGCAAGATGTTGAAAACCCTGAAATTTCATTAAAATACTCAAAAAGTTTTTATGTTTGAGTTTGATTGCTGCAAACATGGTTTAAATAATTTGATGGTGATGGGCAAATGAAGCTTTCCTGAAGCTGAACAGGGTTCATAACTCAAAGCTTTTCAACATAGTGGTCTTATGCCATAATCATCAGTATTAAAACAATTAAAGACCTGAAATATTTCAGTTGGTGTGCAATGAATCTGAAATATATGAAAGTTTCATTTTTATCATTACATTATGGAAAATGACCTTTATCACAATATGCTAATTTTTTGAGAAGGACCTGTATTACTTCTTATATTTCTGCCTCCTCTCTTCAGTCCTCTCACTGTCATATTTCTTCTTAGCTAACTTCTTTCTTTGAACAGCTTCCTGCACTTCACTATTCCACCACCAGGTTTCCTTATAATCCTCTGTCCAGACTCCAGATGACACACCAAGTACCTTCCTACCTGTCTATACTGTTGCTGTAGTAATCCAGTCATTTGGAAGCTCTTTCTTACCAGCCAGAGCCTTTAACAGCTCCTGTCTGAATTTCTCACAACATTCTTCCTTCCTCAGCTTCGACCATTTGGTCTTCTCTCATTTTACTCTGTGTTGACTACAGTTCTTGACTATGGACCTTCCTCCTCTCCCTCTGGCACCCTGTTTGCCAACTACAGTGGCTTTAGTTTGTAACCTGATCGATCTATTTTGACATTTGGACTGATTAGCATGCTTGTTTGACAAAAGTGTTTTACGTCAGATGACCTTCCTGACACAACCCTCAACATTTACCCAGGCTTGGGTCTGGCACAAGAGATGCACTGGTTTGTGTTCCAGAGTAGCTGGTTTGAAAAAGGCAAATGCAAAAGGTTATTTTTTTAAGCCAAAAGTCAAGAGTATCAGAAGACTAGCTAAACAATAAAAGTAGCAAAAGCCTTGTTAAAGGAATCTAAAAGATGGATAAAAGTAGCAAATCACTAAAAGCCAAGTTAAATTATGTAATCTAAAAACAAAGCAGGATAAGAAGACAAAAATAGAGCAAGTATTTTAAAGCAAATTTCAACAAAAACATTTTTATAAATATATACAATTATTTTTAATTGGGGAAATAATTGTAGTAAATAAAGTTTAATAAGTAAAAAGTTACAACAAATATCTCCTGAAGGAGCAGAATGGCTAATAGTACAACATATGTATCAAACAAAGGTTGGTGAACTTACAACACAGTCAGCAATCACTGACCAGATTATTTTACCACGTTGGGTAAAAATATAAACCTTGAGTGAAGTAGACCATTTCCAGCTTAACCTCATGCCTGATGGTTTCTTCTTCACTGACTGAAGGTGATAAATAACAAACTCTGCATAGTCTTGTGATATCAGGATTTAAATCACTTGTTATAATTTTAAACAAAGATAAATGTAATTAACACAAAGTTTACATTTCCTTCAGTATATTACATGGAAGAAAAAGATGCAGGCAGCTAAGTACGGCTTCGTGATGGACACAGATCCTCCTTGAGCTATTCTTACATCGTCTGCTACTTGAACACTGCGTGGACCATCTATCATCTACCATGTGATCCTAAATGACAGAAGACCTGTCTAGGTTATGTTTCAAATTAACACAATTGCCACCAATGGCAGTGAATTAAAGCAGCAGAATGACCAAACAACTTACCAGATGCTCGAACATTTATTATATCACACACCATGGTATGATCTGTTGAAGACATATGACAAGACACTTCAGGGTCATAAATGTCTGTTTGAAAGTGTTGCTGAGGAAACAGCTCAGTTTCAAATATTTTATTACTCTTAGACGAAGATCTACGCAGCATGGCCAGAGACTCTGTCGTTTAAACTTTCACACCCATCATCTAACACAACCGTTCTCCTGACAAATCAGTGAAATGTTTGAAAAATCAAAACAAGTTATAACTTTTTGTTCTTTCTTGCACATTTTTTAATCAAATAAAAACAATGACAATGATTCAACTTCGTAGAAGACAAGTTAGTAAAATACAAAGCAATGCTGAAATGTCGCTTCTCGAAAAGTAATGTTTTTAAACACAAATGAACAAACGGTGCTCTCCACAAGAAGGTTGTAAGTATTTTTCAACATGGAAAAACAAACAAAAAGGATTTTAAATTATTTAAAAAATGTAGCTGGATCATTACAATGCAGAAATAAACTGTCAATGACACAAAACAATACATTTGAGGCTGAAGACCAACCACTTTCTTTATATTCTACCAATTAAAAATATATATACGTTTACACATAATTTTACCATTTTTAAGGTGTTCTTTTTTTTATTATTTCAAAATATCTGTTTATACAAACTAACCCAAAGAATTATTTTGTCCCGAAATTTTAGTTTTTTTTCATTTGTATCAATTTACAAATAGCTGCAGCTATAACTGTAAAATTTCTATCCTATATTAAAAGAAATTTAAATAAAAGAAAACTGAACTAAATTACTTTTGTGTACATGTTTTGTGTATTTCTTCTAAAACATTAGCCTTGCATCGTTTTCCAGAAAATAGCTACAATCTTTAAAAGAAGGTGAGGTTCACCCTGGTCAGGTTGCCAGATCACCAGAGGGCCACTCAGAAACAAACATCCATTCACACTGAAGGCCAGTTTAGAGTTGCCAGGTATCAATGTTGTTGAACTAACAAAGGAAACCAGAGTATTTGGGAAAAGCCCATGCACAGATGAGAACATGCCAACTCCATGTAGAAAGGCACCAGCTGTGAGTCAAACCGACTTCAAACCATCTGTTTATTCTTGCAGAATTAGTGGCAAAACTACCAAAGAGATTTGTAATATATTCTGATAAATGGTGGTACAAGACAGCTGACATACATGCTTATTTTAAGTCAAAACAACAGTCATTCAACTTCACATCACATACTATTTAATAAGAAACACTGCAATGGTGCAGTTTCAGTCCAAAAAGAAATCACATCTAAGAGTTGTCTTAATATTTACAGTTAACCGTTTTCTGTACTGTATCATGATGTCTAAGTTTTACAACAATGACTGCATTAAATGCTGTTTTGTCCGTTAGCTTGCAGTTAAATCATTGTACACAAAGAGCACAACTAAACAGCAATCCTGCTGTGTGGATTTTTCTGTTTTGCTCGTGTCTTATGGCTAAACCAGTGATCACCAAACAGAAGCCCACGTGGGTGTGAGGTGGGTTACGAGTGGTGGGACGGGGTAGAGACCTATACCCACAGCTTACAAATGATGACACAAAATGATGTAGCAAAACAATCAAACAAAAAAGTGCCATGATATTGAATATATTTAGCATACTTTAATTATTTTAGAGCTACCTAAAACTGAATTAGTAAATAGGCTAATTTATTAAGTTTTGTAATCTCTGAAGACTTTAAGTTTGACAGCTTATTTACAATATACAGCTGACACATTCTTCAGATACTTGACCAACCAAGGCTGCAAGATCAAATGTTATTCTACATGTATAAATATTGCTGCTTGCATTGCTTGAATTTGGGAATCCTGATGTCAAACAACCTGTCACCTTTGCCAACACCCCAACCACCTCCATTTTCCCCTTCCTTTGTATTTGCACTAACGTTTGATTTTCCATAGGAGCTAATATTTTTTCCTCATTTAACATTCTGCACAATGGCTCAGGCAAAATCAAAACTACACCTTACAGCAAAAACTATAAACAAAAGGAAATTATATAAGTTAACATAAAAATAAAAGCATGCCAAATATAATTTGTGTGAAAACAGATTAATAAAAGTGACAGAACCTATGGTTATGAGAAATTTAACTTTTTCGTCTATACAACTAAATGGCTCAGCATTATAACACATCTGAGCATTAGCGGTTAGCTTGTGCTAATTAATAACTGATGTGTATAAATCCCAACAGCTGAAATACATTTTTATTAATGAGGAAAAAAGATGATTGTTTTTCTCTTGGATAACTAATCATCATCAAGCTCGACACCTATGAGGTTTCTTCACAAGCATCATTATTATCATGGGCATTTCTTGCATCAAAGGCTGGCTCGGCAGAACCTGCACAAAAAATATTTGGCTCCTCAGCAAAGTTTCCTGGTGACTCCTGCTCTACACCTTCTTCAGCACACATCACAACCACTTTCTGTATTGTATGGATTTTCCTGTGTCCGTCTAAATGTGCCTTTTGTCTAAAACTTTGACCGCATAGATCACAACTATACGGTTTCTCTCCCGTGTGGATCCTCATGTGAATGCCTAAATGTGTCTTTCGTGTAAAACTTTGTCCACAAAGATCACAACAAAACTGCTTCTCTCCAGTGTGGAAACTCACATGTCTGTCTAATTGTGCTTTGTTGCTAAACCTGTGATGACATACGGGACAACCAAACAACTTCTCTCCTGAATGGATTTTCATGTGAATGCCTAAATGTTTCTTCCGTGAAAATCGTTGCTCACAGTAATCACAGCCAAATGGTTTATGTACTGTATGGATTCTTGTATGTTTGTTTAAATTTGACTTATGGGTAAAACTTCTTCCACATACGTCACAGTCATAGGGTTTCTCCCCAGCATGGATTCTCAGGTGTTTGTTTAAATTTGATTTATGAGTAAATCTTTTTCCACAAACACCACATTCATATGGCTTCTCTCCTGTGTGGATTCTCATGTGTTTGTTTAAAGTGTTCTTCAAGCTAAATCTTTGCTGGCAGACACCACAACCAAATGGTTTCTCACCGGTATGGATTCTCATGTGAACACCTAAATGTGTCATACGTGTGAATCTTTGTCCACATATATCACAACCAAATGGTTTCTCTCCAGTGTGGAAGCTCACATGTCTGTCTAAATGTGTTTTATGGCTGAACTTTTCTCCACAAAAATCACATTCGAACAGTTTTTTCCCTCTGTGGAAACGTGCATGTCTTTCTAAATCGGTCTTATAGGTAAATCTCTGTTCACAAACATCACAACCAAACGGTTTCTCTCCAGTATGAATCCTCGAGTGCTTATTCATATTTGATTTAAGGTTAAACCTGCGTCCGCATACATCACAACTGTATGGTTTCTCACCTGTGTGGGTTCTTGTGTGTTTGTTTAAGTTTGACTTATGGTTAAACTTTCGTCCACATATGTCACAGCTGTAGGGTTTCTCTCCAGTGTGGACCCTCATGTGTTTGGTTAAATCTGTTTTAGAGGTAACTATTTTACCACAGTCATTACAGCTTAATGATTTCTGACTTTTCTGAACTTTACTGCAAGATTCTGCATTTTCCTTTACACTAAAACTTTTCTTTGGAACAAAACTACTTGAAGACCTCGATTCTAAATGATTTGTCACATGTCTCAGAAAAGACTGGTTGTTAACAAACAGCTGACCACACTCGGAGCAGATAAAACATTTGCTGACATTGTTTAGACCAGACACTAAAGCTGTGCTCTCTTTCCAGTCATCACCAATGTCTTCAGCTCTTGGTTCTGATAAAGGTACCGGACAGTAATCAGGGTGGGTCACAGTTTTGTCCTCCTTAATATCACCGACTTCAATCTCTGAAGAGCTGGAATTGTCTACACAACTCTTTTGATCTGGGTTCCTGGTAGTTTCTGCTCCTCCACAGTCATCTCCACCAGTTTCTGCTTGCATCTGGTCAGTTGAGCTGCAAGTTGGAAGATCTCCAGCTTCCATTTGGTGTTGATGAAGGTGTGAAAACTGGGGTGTCTTATCATCTTCATTCTTCAAAGGAACTGCGGTGAAGCAAAACCTTGTGGTGTTAGTCTCCTTCTGATTGAGCTGGTCTTCCTCCAGACTGGTCCAGGGCTCTTCCTCTTCTGTCTTTTTGTGAAGTAGGTCCAAATCAGGCTTCCAATCTTCAGGAGCTTGTTCATTTTTCTCTCCCGCCTGGCGGGTCCAGAGGTCCTCCTCTTCCTCCTTTATGTGGATGGGGTCCAAACCAGGCCTCCATCCTTCAGAAGAATCATCTTTATTCTCTTCCTCAGAACCGGTCCTGACGTCGCCCTCTTCTTCCTTTATGTAGAGAAGCTCTGGATCCTGCTGCTTCATACAGGAGCTCCTTTCTTTAAGAGTCTCGTCTTTAATCAGCACCGTCTGCTGAACATCTGCAAGAAACACAGAAATATGTGTTCATTATACACAACTTTGTGTTCACACATGCAACACTTGTGTTATTGTTGAAATCAACAAAGTTCACTGCTTAGCTATTAAGCACTACACTGAAAAGAATATTAGTTTACTGTGACAGCATTTAGCTTAAAGCACCATGCCCCAACTTGTTACATCATTTTTATAGGAAATCAGTCTCAGAAGAGGCAGGTCTGCGCCATCTTTAAGACTGAGAGCCAGACCGATGACCTAATTTTCTACAAAAAAGGGTCAACAGGCTTCAACACTTTCAAAGTCAAGGAGCTGACACCATTTCTTCAGAAACAAACATCCAGCTCGCCCTACTTTTCCCATATGGGCGGTTCCACGTCAAGCTTGTGGGTTCCGCAAAGTCTTTACTGTTCTCAGGTTGCTGCTTATATAACTATATGTTACTACTATTAAATGGCACTTTTTATTCCAAATAATTGTATGGGCTAAGAAAACTGCACCAAGTCTGTGGTGTTGTTCCTGAAAGTTGAAAGATATGTCTTAATTTTTGGATTACACTGTATTCCTTTTACTTAAATTGTTTAATTTAACTTTAATTTAACTCACTAGAAAGACTTACAGTATGTGGAACTGTTTTGCTTTGTTGCTTGGATCTTTTTGTTTGTTTTTGGCAGAGATTTAATATTAAGAAGATAACTTAATAAATACAGAATTTAAATGAGAAGGTTTATATATGTATTTTTCATAAATTAATCATTAAATTAAATCGACCAACAAAATAATAATTGCTAAATGGATTGAAAACTTAGCCAGTAGATTATTCAAGTAATCATAAAAATAATGGCTAGATTAATCAAGACAAAAATAAACGTTTAGGACAGCACTATTGATCCATTATTTATTTACCATTTATACTATTGATCCACCAATTCAATATGACCACACCATAACTAATTGACCTTAGCTAATACAAAGATGTGTGTAACTCAGTTAATTTTATAGATTTTGTGCAAAGTTTTGACATGATAGCAGCTCAGTGTCATTAATAACAAATACTGATCATGCAAGAGCTTAAATACTACCTGAAATTGGGCAAAATGTCATTGTCACAGTTTATCCCTAGGACAGACTTTAGAGACAGAACCATAAGTTAAAACCACAAAGGATGAGCTCCTGCTACTAGGCTGGCTGCAGCACATTTAATTATTATGTATGTCACTACCTTACAATCATAATTCAGTTAATCTAAATGTTAGTACCTGTGCAATAACACAACCTGTGTAGTACATGTTATGTGCATTAAATATTATATACGTTTAAGCTAATATTACTACCTGTGAAATACTTATTCATACGAAATCCTCCTACTTGCACCGTTATTCTACCATGTTGTCATTCACTACATTTATTTTGGATATTTTTTTTCCACTTTTGGTATTTTATTTTGTACCCATTATTATTATTATGTTTGAATGCTTTAGTATTTCTCGTTTGTTTTTTTGAACGAGTCGAATCGGTTCTTCTCGTCCTGAACATTTCATTGCATTGTTGACCTTGTGTTAACCTGCATATGACAAATAAACAACATAATTACAAAAAAGTCCCTCCTCTCCGTGTAAAGAAAAAAAAACATTTTCTTGACAAAAATAAAAGTGCAACTAATTTTTTTCTGAGCTGATTATTTATTCATGTAGTTCTTACCTTGCTACTCTATGTTTAAATTAACCTTTTTCTACATTACTTTTAGTTTTAAATAAGTGTGGCTTAAAGAGCTCGCTACACTGTGATTGACAGGAATGACAGCCTATAAGAGAGTTGGGAGGGTGAGTGGGCGGGACTAACAGCCTCATGTCCTTAGACCTCGACATGGCAGCGCCCAGAAAACGGACATTTTGGCTTCATCTCGATGAGTTTGACCAAAACTGTTTATCAACATTAAACCTTAGTTTAAAACTTGGGCTTTAAGGGCGGCGGATTTTGTTTTGCGTCTAACTACAGCTATGCTAACATCGTCGCCCCCCTCCCCCCGGTCCATTAAACCCCACTTGACAGCCCATTCCAGATTACATCTTTGATCGTAACTAACCTCACAATTGGAAGTAAAACCGCAAATACACAAACCTAAAGTGTGCCGTCGAAGTTCGGGGTTGAGAACACCATGTTGTGTTCCGGTCTGTCGAACATTTTCATGAGGAAGGGACCGTTTCTCTTCTGCAGCATCCAGCTGCTGTCTGGCCTGCTGGCTCAACATGGCTAGCTTTTGTCCATCTGCATTTCCCTTTAACAGCAGAGAGGAGTCCGCTGCTGCCATGGCAGCTTGATGTACCGGTTACTCCACATGAACAATAAGAGCAGACTCCCGCTCGAGAGACGGTTTTTTTAGCCAACGTGTCTGATTTTTGCGATACGGTAACAACAGCTCCGTTTAGCAAGTTCTACAGCACCGTGTGTTGACCGCATCGACGTCATCCAACCAATGAGGTGCAACAGCGAACTTGGATCATACCATCAGTTTAAAGTTCGGAGGGGGGTTCAGTGGGACAGAGATACGAACAATAGCAGACAGTTCAGAGATGTGAAGCAAATTACATCTTAAATCACTGGGCTTACATCTACAATTATTATAGAGTCAACCCTCCACAGAAAAACAATATTTTCAAACACAAAATGTCTATAACTGTCAATCAAAAAAATATTCAGTTAAATTGTGGTGTGGTAGCTGAGACTGATCAACTATTACCACAAGATCAAGCGATGTCTGCATTTAAAACTTGGCCCATAACGATTGGCGTTAACTGTGTCTCTGTTAACAAAACGTTTCATTAACCACAGGATAGATTTTTAAAATTCTTGGAAAACAGTCCAAGGATTTACAAATAAACTTAAGATTTCAGTTCAAGATTGCAGTAACAGGAAGTGACAACAAAGGGGAATGCCTGCATGTAAACAGAGCATCGCTACAATGGCTAACAACAAAGACAGTTGCAAAGAAGCTGCTGTTTCTTTAGATTTTTTTTTTGGAGACACTATCAGAGAGAAAAGAACAAGAGTCAAAAGTTTTACTACTTTTGTGTCAATAAACAAAGACCGGGGAGTTCCCACGGTTTTCATTCAACCTTTATTCCCCTTTGATGTCACGTCCTGTTTCACTTTGGCTGCACGTTAACAAAAAAAAGCCATTTATGTTACAAAATGCATAAAATTATATGCTGTACGCCAAATTTCTTTAATATTATGAATTCCTCCCCCCCCCCCCCATTTTTTGTATTTGTAGGATGTGCATGTCACAAGCACTTTAATGTGGTAATATCTGAGAGTCATTCATAACACATACAATGAGTACAAGTTTGCACACAATGTTATTTTCAAGACTGGACATAAAACATTGAACTTAAACTCAAACATGAAACATGGAGGATAAATGTACGTTCCTTTAAGGAATACTAGGCCTTTAATTCATTAATTCATTCAACCTTTGTTTATACAGGTTAATCCCATTGAGCCTTGAGGACACATTCACAAGAGAGACCTGATTTCAACAAAGAATGATGACAACAATGGACAATCATAAAAGAGGCATACAGATTTTTTTATTATTATTTTTATACAAATTAAAATAAGATGGCAAAAAATAACACAAACAGCTAGATTATAAGGCAAATGTAGAAAACTAAAAACAGGAACATGTCTGCATTGGTGGGGCAGCACGGTGGCGCAACTGGTAGAGCTGCTGCCTCTCAGTGAGCAGGTCCTTGGTTCAAACCCCGGTCCAGGGGCCTTTCTGGGTGGAGTTTGCATGTTCTCTCCGTGCATGCGTGGGTTTTCTCCGGGTACTCCGGTTTCCTCCCACAGACCAAAAACATGCATGTTAGGCTGATTAGTAACTCTAAATTGTCCCTAGGTGTGAATGGTTGTTTGTCTCGTTTGTCTCTATGTGTCCCTGTGATGGACTTGCGACCCGTCCAGGGTGTACCCCGTCCCTCGCACAGTGATTGCTGGACATGGGCACCAGCGACCCCCGTGACCCAAAATGGAATAAGCTGGTAAAGATAATGGATGGATGGATGGTCTGCATTGGACCCTGCCAGGAGTCCAACAGATTCTTAAAGCCACTTAGAGAGGTCAAGGTTGAGAGCTTCAAATCTTTTTGTAAGATATTCCAGGAAACAGGAGCGGAGTAGGAGAAGGCCCTTTTGCCTAGTTCAGTCCTCACTGAGGGAACACTGCAGGTAATAATGTCCTGAGAGCGCACGCTGTAGCTGCACTCACACAGAGACATGTAGGAGGAGATGTATTAAGGCAGCAGACCAACAAGTGATTTAAAGATGAAAATGTACCAGTGAGAGAGTCTGTGTGAAGTTAATGATGTCCAGTTAACCAGTGAATACAGGGTGCAGTGGTGGGTACGATAATCACAGCCAGTTATGAATCTTAGTGCACCATGATAGACAGCATCCAACATCTGCAGGGTTCTTGTAGGAGCGTTCATGTAAATAATATCACCATAATCAATGGAGGGAAGGAAAGTCACAGATACAAGGTGTTTTCTAGCATTCAGAGTTAGACAGGATCTGTTTCTGAAAAAGAAACCCTGGTTAACTTTCAGTTTCCTTACTAGGTTTTCCACGTGAAGCTTAAAAGAGAGATGTGAGTCGACCAATATACCCAAATATTTATAGGAATCAACAAACTAAATAGGGACACCTTTTGAGGATAAAATCGAAGAAAGAATTGCTGGGACCGACTTTCTGTTTGAAAAAAAGCATCCCTTTGGTTTTATCGTCATTTAAGACAAGTTTGAGGTGGAACAAATCTGTCTGGATGATGTCAAAGGCAGATTGCAAAATCTGGAAAGCCTTAGCAACTGTTTTAGCTCAAAAGTAAGCAACTGTGTCATCAGCATAGAAATGTAAGGATGTGTCAAGGATGCTCTAACCTACATTAACTATGTAGATTGTAAAGAGGGTGGGTCCTAAGACTGAGCCTTGTGGTACACCATTGTTGACTGTTAAATAACTGGAAGAAGTACTATTATGTTGAACACATTGCATCCGATCTGAGAGATAGTTAGAGAACCAACCAATGGTGTGATATGAGAAACCAGTTTCTGAGAGCATATGACACAAGATGTTATGATCCACAGTGTCAAAAGCTTTAAACAGGTCTAAGAAAAGTGCAGCACAATAAATCCTTAGCATCCAATGCTTCAACGTCAATTCTCTTCAGTGAAGCAGTGAAACAGTTATTATAAGCAGTGATTATAGCAGAGTTATTGTTTTGCTTTGTTTTGTTTTTTGAATGTCCAGAGGACCAGACTTAACTTTATTTTATTTTTTTTTGCCTGGATTATTGAGCATGCATAAGGATATAGCAGAGTGTAAATTAAAAGGCAATTGGACTTATAGATAGACAGACAGATGATAGATAGATTTTTCTTAGCATTTTTATTACTGAATTTTACAGACTGCTCCGCCCACGACACCCCCACTGCTTTTCAATCTGATGGTATGATCCTATTTTTCCTCGCTCTTGATTGGTTGAACGGTAGTCAGCCACACCTGTTAGCCACCGATAGCTAGCATTGCTAAACGATGCAGCTAATATCTTATCGTGGCTATAAAATACATACTCTTTAGATATAAAACAAAAAAATGGCTTTCAAACGAAAGCCCGCTGTAATTATTCACGTGAAGCAGCCGGGACATGATGCCACTTCAGGGTCGACTGGCTCCTCTTTGCTGTTTAAGGAAGATGCAGATGGACAAAAGCTAGCCTTGATGAGGGATCAACAGCTTAATGTTGCAGAGGGTGAGAAACTGTCCTGTTTAAATGAAACTGTGCGACAGAGGAAACTACCAGATGCGCTGTTCAATACTAAAGTTCGAGACAACAGACTAGGTTTGTATTAACATTTTTCTACCAAGTGTAATTGTTGTTACAGTTGTTGTTACAGTACAGTATCTGCGGTTTTTATTTAGCTAATGGACGTTAGCTTCTTCTGCAACATACCGAAGTGCGTTCATTTAGTGATTTAGGGTATTTTAGTATTTACACGAGTCTTTTTAATAAATTTTAACATTTGAAAAATATTTAAAAAAAAAACTACTTATGTTAGAGCCATTTTATGTTGTTGGTGTTATTTCATTTAACACTAGAGGGAGTAATATGCTACCTGTCATTGTCTCCACACTCCCATAAAAGCAGGTGCAAATGTGCACACGGGTGATGAGACAGGACAGAGGCAAACAGATTTTTTTGGTTGTTTTTTTTTTACCCTGTAATGTGTAAGTTGTATTCCAGGAACTGTAAAAGCATGTTTGAAAGTTAATGGAAGTGCAAGAAGTGTGATTGGAACCTTTTTGCATCATCTATGAAATATGGAACCTTGAAATGGAGGCAAGTAATGCATGGACTTTGTTAAAATACAGAAAATAAGTGACATTGTTTTACAAAAAGGAGCTGATTAAAGAACGCTTATTGGGCACACGTCAAAACACCTGTCAACTCATCACCTGTGGTGATCGAGCCTTAAAGGAAAAGTTTGGTCCCCATAACTTATATATGGCCTATTTAGCCAGAGGTTTTGTCTGAATAAATGGAACTTTGTGGCATAATAAACTATTTTCTGTGTTTTTAGATGAGCATAACTTATGAAATCCCAAAACAACAGATGTTTGTGCCCTTCTGAACCCTCACAGTAGGACTCTGACTGATCACCATGTAGAAAAGTTAGTCTTTTATCAGCAATATTTTTTTCATTGTGAGTTTGATTCAATACATGAAGTTTTCACAGTTCTCCATCATAGCTGGACTCCTGTTCTAAGCTGAGTGCATTCAGTCAAGTGGCCCTTTTTTAAAAACAAATTTTAAGTCTGAGATGAAGGTGGAAGCAGTGGTGGATCCCAAGTACTTGAAGTCCTGCACCTTTGAGACCTCTGCTCCTTGTAGCCTCACTGTTCCACCTCCTCCCTCTCATTCACACACATGAACTCTGTCTTACTAAGGCTGACTTGCATTCCTCTTCTTTCAAGTGCATACCTCCACCTCTCCAAGTTCTCTTCCACGTGTTCCCTGTTCTCATCACAAATCACAATGTCATCTGCAAACATCATGGTCCCATCATAAAATCCCATGCTAAGATGGCCGTGCTCAACCAAGCGGCAGCTTCACAGGCTCCCGGTGAACTCGATATTTTTATGTTCCTGTTGCTTTTTTTAATCTATCCATCCATCCATCCATCCATCCATCCATTTTCTTCTGCTTATCCGGGGTCGGGTCGCGGGGGTAGCAGCCTAAGTAGGGAGGCCCAGACTTCCCTCTCCCCAGCCACTTGGGCCAGCTCTTCCGGGGGAATCCCGAGGCGTTCCCAGGCCAGCCGAGAAACATAGTCCCTCCAGCATGTCCTGGGTCTTCCTCTGGGCCTCCTTCCGGTGGGACGTGTCCGGAACACCTCACCAGGG